TGTATGATTTGTTGAATGTAAAACTGATGATATGCCCTGTAAACTTTCACTCAATCCACAATAAAAACCTCAAATTAAAAAAAAAAAAAAAATGTGTGACGGACTGCCAGAAGAGCAAACATCTGTGTCCTGGATGAAGTACTGCCATAATGCTCGCTAGAAGCCAGGATGGCAGAACTTTATGCCTCATAGCAGACATGCTGTCATAAGGGACCAGTCACTTGTGAAACACATCATGTTTGGTAGAGTGGAGTGTCTGGGAAAAAGGGAAGACTCCCAGCAAGATCAATCGACACAGTAGCAGCAAGAGTGAGCTCAAACGTAACCACAATTGTTAGGATGGTGCAGGATCACTCAGCAATTTGTTCTGTTGTGCATACAGTCACTATAAGTCAGAACTGACTTGTTAGCACCTAGCAAAAACAATAGTGTGAGAGAAGGCTTTAAGGGAAGGTTTTGATGGGAGAATTGGCTATTGAAGGAAGAGATATGAGGAGGCACTGAAAAACCAAATGGAATGCAGTCTATGATGGTTCCGGGGTCTAAAGCTGACAAGTGCAGTCCCTGGCATGGTTTGAAGATTTTTAGCACCCACAAGGACTGATTTATAACTTTTTACCTATATCCAGTAATCTCTGTGGAAACAGAATCCCAGTGTTCTAGGGGAGCCATGATGTAAGTGGAGTGTTTTCCAAATATTTTCTCTAGTAAGTATTGTGACCCTTTGAAAAGAGTAACACAGATTTTTTCATTCAAAATCATTGGGTCCAGCTTCCTCATCTTATAATCAAGGAAAGTGAGGCACTGGGAAGCGAAGTGACTTGCGCAAGGTCACCAACGACTCGTTCTAGAGCCGTTACTGGCCAGGATGTGACCACAGGCTGAGCCACTGGGCAGGTAGCAGTGGTCTAAAGATGTGGGGTGGCTCACGGTTCTGCGGCCATTGGATCAAAGATGCTAGCAAGTTGGGCTGCTGTGCCCAGAGCATACACCAGTGCCCCTCCCCCTCTGGTCCTGCTGATAGAAACCTAATTCATAGACACAATTGCCTTCAGAGCTCAGGGAGATAATCCTATTAAATGCAATGAAGAGTTAGAGAAGATAGGGGTTGGGGGCCCCCACAAACTATAGCCAGTAGCAGTTACTCTCAAAGGAGGTGGTTGTGTTCAATATCACAGGACACATTGGAAGCAGGGCTGAGCTGAACGTGATGAATGGATTCATTTATGGGCAGAGAAACAATAGGGCTTCTCTGACAAGGCACTTAAATCCTGAATTCCCAGTTCAGTGAAGAGGAGGCCCAGGGAAGGGAGGGGGTTGTTTGCTTGTAAACCTGGTTTGGCAGCCTGGCCTCTGAGAAAGAGAGCTGAAACCGCTCAGAAATCTGTTCTCTTCTTCCAAAACATGGGATTCTGAGTGCCTAGGGACTCTTCTTAGTAAAGTGAGGTCCCCTCCCACCACTGTCCCCCAGCTTTCTGCAGGAGGAAACCATCCTTAAAGGCGCAAAGTGGTGCCTGGGAGAGGCAAGAAGGCACTGGACCCAAATTCCTTTTCTGACAGTAAGTCACACCTGACACCCACAATGGGGGGCTGAGAGCTAATGGGTATGTCTCTCCCACTTTTAATAATTCGTGTAACTAAGACTGCTTCAGTGTTGCCAAATGGATGGGTATCTGGAGTCTGGTCTAGCTCTAGAGTATATTGAGGAGTGAGCAACAGAGACCCTCAGAGGAACACAGGGACCAAGGCGACTTCCTGATTTGTCACAGCATTCTCCAAAGGAAGCCCTTTCCACCCCCTGAATTCATTTGGAAAGACAGAAATCTAACTAATGCTATTCTCTCTAAGGTATAAATGGTCCATTTATTTCATCCTATTAGTTCATTGAACTATTTAATAAATATCTGAGAATGAAGGAAAGCGATCTAACTCGATTTACTCAGAGGTATGCATATTCCATTAGGTACACCCTCTCAAGGCCTTCTAAAAGCCATGGTTTCTGTAAATCTAGTGTTCGCAGACACTACTCATCTGTCAATTTGTCAGACTGTGGTGGCTTGTATATTGCTGTGATGTTGGAACTTACGTCCACATGATGGACAGCTTTCAGCAGAGCTTACAGACTAGGGAAAAGGTGAGGTGGACCATTGAAAACGTTATGAATAGCAGCAGAACACTGCCAGAAGATGAGCCCTCAGGTTGGAAGGCACTTCAAAGACAACTGGGGAAGAACTGCCTCCTCAAATTAGAGACGACCTTAATGACTTTCATTTGGTGATGGAGCACAACTCAAAATGAGAAGAAACAGCTGCAAATATGCATTAATAATTGGAATGTGGAGCGTACAAACTATGAATCTAGGAAATTTTATGTCGTCAGTCCACTTGGTAAAGTGGAGCATTGGCCAAAAAAAAAAAAAAGAAGATCCTCAACCAGATGGATTGCCACAGTGGCAGCAACAATGGGTTCAACCATAGCATCATAAGGATGGAGCAGGGCTGCACAGTGCATAGGGTCTCTCTGAGTCAGAACCAACTGGACAGTTCCTAACAACAACAATAGAGGTCTCAGACACAAATTCATAAACAAGCTTTGTTAGTCTGCAACCTGCTGCAAACACAGGTAATGCTTATAATCACATATTTCTCAGGGAAAAGGTCTGCAGAGCTGTCATCAGGTTCTCACAGAGAACCCTGAGGATGGTTCCTTGCTGGTCATATGCTCATGAACACAGGCAGATCTCAGCTGAGGATAGGTGGGGAGTGTGCCAGGTGGACATGGGGGTGAGGGCTCAGACTTCAAATATGTGGATCTTTGTGGCGAAGTAGGTAAGGAATAGGGAGCTTGACCATTAAGTCAGTCAGTAATAGCACAGGAAGAAGACGCCCAAGTGCCCAAGAGTCGGTTCCGAGTCTTAGTGATCCTGTATTGTAGGGGTAGGGAAACTTTTTCCTGAAAAAATTTACATCATTCTCGGGCCTTACAAAATATAGCTTGCTATATTTGATCAAACATTTAATTAACACACCTAATATGATGGCTGGAATCCTAGTGTAGCCCTGTGGGTTGATGTGCTGGACTGCAAAGTGGTTTTGAACCACAAAGTTGGTGGCTCAAAGTCACCAGCTGATCCTCAGAAACCCTATACAGGGTCACTATGGGTCAGAACTCGACAGCATTTAACAACAACAACAACTATGTGATGGCTGGAATTGCAGTTATCTTGGCAGAGCTAGACCAAATGGTTTCATGGGTCTAACAGCCTTGGAAACCCTGTTACAGGGTCACTATGAGTCGGAACCGACTCCACGGCACATAACCACCACCACCATATAGCCTGCAGGCCAGACATCCCCCACCCCTGCTGTATAGGGTTTCCAAAGAGTGACTGGTGAGTTTGAACAGCCGACCTTGCCATTCAAACTGACCTTCTCTGTCTTCAACCTCTTCTCATCTGGCAGATCCTTGGAAGCAGGGGCTATCTATCATATTCCTAGCCATTGTTAGGTTGCTTATATGTAGTAAGGATTTGGTTGATCTGGAATGAACAGCATTTGGGACTTGGAACTTGGTACTTCTTCCTTTGACCCTCTTGATCTGACCTGGACAGATTCTTAATCCCCTTGAGGACCTATCACCAAGTTTCTCTGATCAACTAAAGGATCAAAGTCAACACCTAGGTTTTTTCAAGCCCTGGAATTCCAAGTAAGTCCCAGGGTTGTACAAATGGTTAAGTGTTTGGCCGAGCCCACCTCCATCTACCTCAGAAGAAAGGCCTGGTATTCTGCTTGTGAAAAACTAGCCACTGAAACCCTACAGAGCACAGTTCTACTCTGACAGACAGACTTCAGTGGCCTGGAGTTGGAAGCAACTACACAGCAAGTAGTTTGGTTTCTTTGGTTTGGGGTAGCAGGGACTGAGTTGTTGGGGAGAAATGGAGCACCGAATGAAAGGATACTAAACAAAAGAGGACCCGTCATAGAAGGTATAATGCAACTTGATGGTCTTCTTGGGCCCTTTCCACTCTTGAGAATGCCGACCATAGTGAATGTGGTGAGCTGGCTGGTAGGAGGTAGGAGTGTGAGGCTGCTGGGAACTCAGGGACTGAGCTTGGGAAGTAGGTGGTGGATGAATGGGTATCTTTGTCTTGTAGTTGCGTAATATCACCGGGTAGGAGACATTCCTCCCTCTCCACAAGGACCTCTCAGCTTCTCTGCAGAGAAGTGGACCAACATGTCTTCTGTCTACTTGGCTCTCACTCTCCAGGGAAGCTCTAGATACCCATTCTGTTTTCCCCAGCACCCCAGACTCCCATCCCATCCTCTGTCCTCAGAAATACCCACTCCCCACCCTACTCCTTTCTCCTCAAAAACAGTGCTTTTAGGAAGAATCAGGAAGGTCCCAGCATCTCTCGAAGACCAAGTTCTTGCCTGATGTCTGGATTTCCACCTTTAGCACTAGGCTGAGGACCTAGAGCGCAGAACAGTGCGCAGAATGGGGAGATGAAGTGAGCTAAGGAGACTGCTCACTCTCAGCCCTGGGGCTGCAAGGAAAGAACACTGACGTCCACGATATCAGTGCAGAGGTTACTTCACAGCAGCAGTTATGCTCGTTGACCCAGTTACTCTCTGGAGATGTACAAGCCTTAGATAGTACATGTACATTCACGTGTACATGCCTTAAATAGTACATGTGCATGTTCCTAAGCCGATGATCTGAGACTTTGGCTCCACCTCATCATAAATATCAGTAATAATCAATGTAAATAGCTTTTTGTCTTGTTTTGAGAAGTATTTTTTAAGAGAGAGGTGTTTCTATAAAAGTAGAACATCTGACAAATTACATTAAGAAATAAAAATCCAGGACACAGAGTCTTTACAGTGAAAAGACCCACGAAAGGGGCATCGTCAGTGAGGTTGCCTGTTACAGAGATAACGAGCACTGCACTTGAAGCCAGACAGAAGCGGCCGTGTGACTGACCGCAAAGTGGACAGGAACCTAGTCTCACTCATCAGCTAGGAGTGAGGATGAAGAGGGTTAGGCATGGGAAAATGACTGGGAAAGCTGTGTTTGAGGGACAGACACCACTGCTGTCATTATTATCATGACTAACTGGCTGGCATGTCCTGGCATGGTTCAGACATGCTTCCTTGTCTGCCCTTTCCTGCACAAATGGGTACTAGCACCCACCCCCTTTTAGGACATCCCATCTCAGCCTTGCTGTGGGGCAAGATGGCATGGAGGACACCAGACTACCCCTAATCTTCGGGGTGCTCACATATGGCGACACATCTCTTGTAGCTTTTCCCGGGCCTCTGGGCAGGGGTCGCTGACCTCCACATAGTCACAGACAGAGGTCCCTGCTGCATGGAGCAAGGGTGGACTTACTTCTTCCAGAGTTTTGGATTTGCCTGTTCCAAGAGATTGGGAGGGACTTAGAAAATGGTTTCTTAAGCAGCTGTATTCATCTGGGGGTGAAGGTGGGAGGAGACAGGAGAACAGCATCCCTCAAGAGTCAAGATAATGGAGGCATGATTTTATGCCTCTTGGGGGCCAGAATCCTTGACAGATAGATGCCTTACACAAAAGACTCGAATCTACACAAGTCAATTGTTAAGCACATATTAGGGACCCACTTGTGAAAAGTGAGGAGCCAGCCCACTCAACATGGCTGCACCCATTCCCTTTTGATGCTTCTCAGGAAAGACAAAAAACAAAACAAAACAGAAAACACCTTCAATTTTGTCTAAACCAACTTTCCCATTTCTCTACTGTTGACTAAGCTCAGAGCTTCTTCAGGGGACAGAATTTATAATTTGAGATTAAATGACAATGGCTTGGATTTATTGAACTTATTTTTGCTGTTATCTTCTGTAGCAAGTGTTGAATGATCTGAGGATATGAGCAAATAAAGCTATAGAGGTGACCCTAAAATGACTCTGAGTGTCTGGGGTCTCTATTTGGAAATGTACCTCCAAGACCAGCTGACCCCCGATCCACCAGCAGCTATCGAATCTTCTTCATTATCTGCTGGTCGACCTTCACCTCGTTTCAGGAACCAAACAGGCTTTAAGCAAGGGGAATTTTCAGGCTCCCACAAAACCCTGCTCTGGTAGCGTAGTGGTTACGAATCGGACTGCTAATCTCACAGTCCGCAGTTCAAAACTACCAGCTGTTCCGCGGGAGAAAGATGAGGCAGTCTACTCCCGTAAAGATTTACAGCCTTAGAATCCCTGTACAGTGTCGCTATGAGTCAGAACCGATACCACGGCACACAATAACAACAACAAGACCCTGTGGGCCTCCAACTTCAGCCATGCTTGTGGTCAGACACCCTTGGAGTTTCTGGCTAGTGCTTGGGCACTGTTCCTACTATTTATTATCCCCACCAGTTCCTGGTCCTTTCTGCCATTTCTCCTGCCACTCAAGGCCTGAGACCTGGCTACCTGGGCTGACCTTCTGCTGATTTGAGTATCCAGTGCTGACCTGGCCTCGGAGGCCTGGGCCCCAGTGCTGACAGCTTCTTGCTCTGACTAGGAACACTGTCAACACATTCCCCCAGTTCCCTTCCTCAAAGGTGGGACTTCCTGTCAGATGTAGCTACTGTCCCCTCAGGGACTTGGTATGATGCCAGAGGTCTGTCTCCTGCAAGTCTTCCTGCCCCATACCATGAAGGGGCGGGGGGCGGATGGGCAACTGATGAGCTATGACAGCACATGTGTATGGAATAGATAATGGAAGGCCCAAACTAAAAATGACTTAAAACCAGAATGACTACATAACATATTGTCCAAACTGGGCAAGCTTAAAAATAGAAAGGAGGCATAATTGATAATTATGCCAGGACAATAAGCAAAAACTGGGACATTGCTGGGCAAGCTAGGACAAATGGTTACTTTACGTATAAACTGTTAGGGATAGTCAATCAGCGATGGTAATAGGGATATGTAAGAATAATTCCTAGCCAATATCAAGAACCTATAACAAAGGCAGCATCACTAAACATACATCCTAGTGGGGATGCTGTAACACACAAGGCATAATGAAAAAAATGTATCTAAATGGGATGACAGGGACCACAGGAACACAGACAAAGAGAAACGCTAACAGGCTTATTGAATCATGGCTTTGAAACAATCTCACTGAAATTATCATCATCCTGAAGGCCATTAGGAAGAATCATATAATCACTGGGTTCCTTGCAGAGCCTTCTTTTCCCTCAAAATGTCTTTGTAGATTTGTTAAGGAATGTGTTAAGAGCAGGAACAAATGAAACAGATGGTGGACCGATGCTCTGAGTTAGTGGGCACATGAGATGCACTGCATCCACAGAGGTAAAGGACTGAAAGTGAGAGATGAACAGGTGGATCTACTTGCTACCCTAGGAAGCTCCCTTGGGAAGACTGCATTCATTCCCAGCAGTTAGAACCGTGACTGACACTGAACATTTATTCCATAACTGAAAGGCTACAGGACAAACTCAATATGGTGAGTAGCAAAATAAAGGTAGACAATGAGAAATCAAATATGTGTTTCAGCTCCGTCAACACTGCCCCGTACCCATCACCACCCTCATTTTACCAATGAGAAGAGTGGGGCCTGGGAGGGAGGAGGCAAGTCACAGCACTCAGGGGCAGGGGCAGGAATCAAATCCAAGCGTCTCAACTTCCAGGCTTACCTCCAGAGTCTGTGGAAATCAATTGGACAGTCTTTGAGAATTCCTACCTCCCATATCCTACATTACCTATGTGATACACCCCTCCCGTCCCATCGTAGCCCTGGGCTGTGTTGGAAGTTCTGGAAGGCCTTGTCTGCATCTCTCCCATTCCAACTCACCTCTCCCTTCCCTATCCTTCTACTCATCTGCCATCTGGTGTGTCTTCTTCCCACACAAACTAGCCCAGCGTTGGACACACAACTGGCATCTCTTAGATTTGCTATCTCAACATCTCTGCTCAAATTTTGGTTCTATCACTTGCCGTGTGACTAGGATGATACAAATGGCTCTGAGCAAAGGGGCTGAGTTTGGGATACTCTTGTGGTTGTTGTTAAGTGCTGTTGAGTCAGTGCCAACTCATAGCAACCCTGTATAGGGTTTCCAAGGAGTGGAGTAGTTGGTGAGTTTGAATCGCCAAGCTTGCAGTTCAAATTGACCTTGTGGTCCAGTGCTTATGCTACAGCGTCACACCAGGACTCCATAGGAGGTGGGAACTGTGGGCTTGGTGGGTTGTCCCAGGTGAGGAAAGTGCTTTTCCAGGAGTGGAGGACATGGAGATTTCCAGAGGATGAGACTACTGGTGGAATAATGGGGTTGAGATTCATCAGTCTTATGTGGAAAGAGTGTGTCAGAGCTGCGGGACCTCCAGTACACCTTTCCTATTAGAAAACCAAATCGAGCCATCCCACCATCTCTAGACTGTCCCTCCCCCACACCACCACCAAAGATGGTCTTGCTGAAAATCATGTCTACCTGTTTTCTTCTTGCCTTCCCTTACGGTGGAGAGAGAAAAGCTCAGACAACCTGTTGAAGACTGGTAAATGAGCTGATATGGCGAGTTCACTCCCAGGATGGACATGTTATTGAAAGAATCTAGAGTAGAAAAGAAAAAGTTTTCATTTCTTTTACAACCAAAAATGTAAAATAGACTTCTTTTCTAGCAGTGTGATGAACCAGATATTTTAAAGTATTCTGTTCTTATAAAACAATTGTTGTTGTTTTTGTTGTGTACCATTGAGTTGGTCCCGACCCATAGCAACCCTGTATAGGGTTTCCAAGGAGCTACTGGTCAGCTTGAACTGCCAGCCCTGCAGTTCAAACAGCTTTGCAGTCTGGCACATTAACTCACAGTGCCACACCAGGACTCCTATAAAACAATAAGGTCCTAGGAAAGATAGACTTCTTCACACACTGGCAGGCTCAATAATGAAGAGAAATCTAAGGTTCCCATCTACACCATGTCCCCCATCCATATACCTCAAGTGTGAACTGACAGCAGAGCAGGATGCAGGGACTGGAAGGCACAAAAGGGGGTGAACTTTATAGGCAAATGCAGATATATCAAAAGTGAACATTTAGAATATTTAGAATCAAGCAAAAAATGAAAGCACACAGTCTTTGTGATACAGCAAAAAGCAGTGGTCAGGGGAAAAGTCATAGCAATAAATGCCTACATTAAAAAAAAGAGAAAGAGAAGATGGAAAAGCTCCACATCATCAGTGAAGACAAGGCCAGGGGCAGACTGTGGAACAGACCATCAATTACTGATATGCAAATTCAAATTAAAGCTGAAGAAAATGAAAATAA